GGCCACCACAAGGCCCCTCTCGAGGACCCTTTTGCGATTATCGAACAATCTTCATGTGGGCCTGCTGCAGAAGAATCTGCTGAGCTAGCAGCAGATTCCAAGATTCGGCCGATACCAAAGGCGGTCATGAAACATATTCGTCAGATTCTCAATCCTCATCCAGATGGGATTTCGGTGGGGACATCTTCGTGCGGAATTGAAGGGAGGCTGATTTGGTCATCGACAAAGATTTCTACGGGTATAAAAAATTCTCTCGTTTTCTGTTGGCCATGCCGAGTGTTTTGAAGCTTCGTTCGGTGAGTGACGGCCAGTTTTTCGTGCAAGGTGTTGGCAGTAAAATTCTCGATGAATCGGTCCCAGCTGAAGTTGCTAAAACAAACGATGTAACTGAAAAGTCAACTGTGCCTCCACTTCAAGAACTGAAACGGATCCCGCAGGAAGTGAAGCAGAACGAGATAAAAATGGAATCTTGCGTGAAAAATATCCAAGATTCCGAAAAAGGGGATCAGGGAAAAGAACCCTCTCCAAAGAGGAACAAGGAAGAGATACGAGAGGTTAATAAAGGAAAGGTGAAATTGGAGGAGCAAGAACAGAAAGTCGAGGCAGCCTCTCCACTAGTTGAAACGAAAGATTCTGTTGAAAAGAAAGAGAATCAAATAGTTGTTCCTAATGATCGTGATTCTAGTTCGGATATTGGGATCTTCAGAAAGATATGGATGAAGTGGTTTGGAAGTGGAGATGCTAATAATACTGATAAGAACTGTGTGAATCAAGATAAAGCATTGAGTGGAAATGAAAAAGTGGAAATCATGGCAAAAACGAAAAAAACGGAAAAAAGTCCGGTATTATGCGAATCTTCTGAATATATGTTTCCAGCTTTATTTTCGCCGTCGAGTCACGAGGCTTTGATTGATGGTAATATTGCTAGGTTTAAGTCTTGGAACTCGCGAGCGGTTGATTATAAAGTCGGAAAAAATGGTGAAATGGAAGATCGGGTGAGGGTTAATGGTAAGCAGGTTGATATTTTTTCGGAAGAGTCCTTTTGGAATGAAATGGAGTCGTTTGTTGACTCACCACAAGGTTCGGCTTGTTTTTCTCAGTCAAGGAACAGGTATTCTTTTTTCGTTATTATGTTACAATTTGTTCATTAAGTAGAGCTCCCTTTGTGCTATATTTCTTTTTCGTTTATGGCTCTTCTTTGTTTAAATGAGAAAAAAAAAATCGGTCAAGGGTGGCACAACTTATGAATCTTTATTGTGATATATATATGTATATATGTGTGTGTGTGTGTGTGTGTGTGTGTGTGTGTGTGTGTGTGTGTGTGTGTGACTGTATTCAATTTCTTATGTCTCTTAAATCTTTAATTAGTCGATTTCGAGTTTTTTTTTTCTTCCAAGTGAAGACTTGATTCTTGATCAGCTAATTTTGTTCGAGTGGGTTGACTATTATTGAACGGATCAATTCTATGTTATATCTGTCAGAACGAGTTATCGATGATTATTTTATTCATTTCATTTCAGGGTGCATCTGATGCAGAAATTTAAAAACGAGGGACCCCCATTTTTGCGATCTCTTTACGAGAGCGATCTTCTTCGCCTGGTTGACTTATTGATCTCCAACAAGAAATGGCTGAAAGAATGCAACGCTCAAACATTTCCTTTCAAACTCACTCGCCCCACCGAAAAAGATCCAAAGAATATTCCTTCTCCAAACGGGCTGAGTCAAATCTTCTCCGATAAGCAGCCAAATGTACCGGAATTTGGAGAGAGAAAACTCCAAAACCCAACTCATAAAGAGTCCTCGAGCAAGACCAAAAGCGAGCTATTGGCCGATTGTCAGAATCTTGTGGATTATATTGTGAAGGAATATCCGGAAGGATTTAACATGGGGGCATTTCGGAAATTATTCCTCGAAAAAAAAGGCTACGCACTCGATTTGCAGAAGCTTGGATACGAAAAGCTGGTGAATCTTTTGCAGATAATGCCTCGCATGAAAATCGAGTCTAATTTAATTCTTCCGGCCGGAGAATTCAAGATTCCTGACCTAAAAAATGATGACAGCGACTCTTCTTGGGATGAACTGGGTCCAGTTAACAAGGTGGGCCCCACGAAAACGAAGATTGATTCGAAGGCTGTCGATAAGAAAGGCAAAAAAACGGGAATCGGGTATGAACCTTTAAAAGAGGATGAATTCTTCTCCGATTCGGATGAAGAAAAACCGGAAAATGGAGCAAAGTCTAAATCAGAAGAGGAGAGTTCTTTGTTGCAGATTCTTGATTCGTGGCATGGAGGGAAAGAGGAGAAATCGAAGAGTACAACGAAAGTAGCTGAGGGTACAACACCAAGCGTCTCTCCAGCTGTGAAGCCTGCACGGAAAACGAATAAGCCGGTTAAAAGCTATTCGTTTGTGACGGAACAGCAGGGTGATGGTAGCAAAGACGCACTCGTTGATGGTATATTGGGTAGCTTGAAGAAGACTAGTGAGAAATCACTCGATTCCCGTGTATTGGGATGAATTTTTATATATCGGTCGAATAAGTTGATCTTATTAATTTATTTATTTTTAGCTGGCATTTAGTTCTAGTAGTTTCTGGAAGAACGGCGGGTGATTTCCTGTTGAATTTTGAGGATTTGCAGAAGTTTTTGGAGGATTTAAAGATGTTGTCATGGTATTATATGATTCGTGGAAAATGTGGAAAAAAAGCCTGATTTTTTTGGACACGTTTGTGGATTCCTTTGTGTGAATTCGAACGTTCAAATTTCGTCAGATCAATAACCGGGACGAATTATCTTTTTCTCTATTCGTCTATCGGAAAATTACTTCGTTGCGGTTTATTACACACTTGGAGTCGAATTTTCTAAGACTAAAAATTGCCATTGTTAAATTAATGGGTAAATTACAAACACCCCCCTGAGGTATGACCAAATTACAAAAACACCCCTCTTGTTTGGATAATTACAACCACCCCCTCAACTCATCAAATTTAGTGGAATCTTCGAGATTATATGGAATATTATCACTTTTGTACCCGTTTTATCCCATTCAAACTCTACATTATGAAGCAAGATGACCATAATATGTGATTTTTAGCTTGTATATATCAGTTTGTGGTGCATCAGAAACTGTATTTTTTACACAAAGAGTACAAACTAGAGCACATTTCACGGAATCTAGATGACTATGTTGAAATTGGCACGATAAAGGTAAGAAAAAAACATTGTTGAGGGGGGTAGATGTAATTATCCAAACAAGAGGGGTTTTTTTTGTAATTTGACCATACATCAGGGGGTGTTTGTAATTTACCCTAAATTAATACATTGCACTTGGGTTTGAGCATGTCTCTCTCTTAAATGATTGCATCTTCTATCTAATGAAAATCCGTAGGTAGTAATATATAGTTAAATCTCTATAAATTAATACAATCATAACTAAAAAATCTATTAATTTGGCGAAATATTAGATTATCGTTTTTTACGTAGTCGCGACCAGAAGAAAACTAGAAGTATTATTATGTAACAGCTAGTCTTTTATATAGTGATGGTGATGGTCAATGCTAGTCATAAAACCATTGAGAATTGTAACTTTTCTTTTTTATTAATGATGTAATAAATCAAGTTGAGTTTTTCTTAATTGTTAAATAAATGTTTCAATAACAAAAATTAGGACCAAATTCAACACTATTTTTACACTATTAGATACACTATTTACAATTTTACACGGTAGATCTATATATAAATTACACACGCGTATGCGAACAGTAACCTTGATGTACAATTATGGTTGAAACCAATCAAATTATTTTATACTCGATTCAAGATCGACCACTGAAAGCTCTTTGAGCTCAATTTATTAGCCTAACTGTAGACACGTAAATTTAATATAATTTATATTATATTAAATTGAATCCCAAGATTATAATTTATCTTGCAAAATAAGTCATGGAGATAATTATCAATTAATTATTGACCAATAGGATTGTTTCTTCTCTTCCAAGTTATAAGAGATAAATATCAATTTAAAGAGAGCCAATCAAATCGCACCACGTCATCAAGAAGACTTTGTGTAGGACTCTTATTCTACCACTATAAATAGGGACCCTCCCTACACAATTCAAGGCACAACTCAAGAAGAATAAAAACCGTAGGAGAAAATTCTCTCTACAATATTCAAGTCGTTCTTCATCAAATCGAAGGTGTTCTTCATCAAATCAAGGCGTTAAAGCGTTTAATTCGAGATTACGGTGCTAAACCCTCGAATTAACGTTATTAACATCAAATCAAGATCGAAGGAAGATTGAAGGGCCAAATCCATCAAGAACTCCAAGATCTTCAAGTCAAAATCCGTCAAAGTTCAGCGTTCGATCCGAGATTCAAGTCGCAAGACCCTCGGAAGACGTTATTCAAATCCAAATCAAATCCGGAGAAGATCAAGTCAACGACTCGTCTCCGAAATTCAAAGTCAATCATATATTTTTCTTGAGAGAATAATCAGAGGATTAAATTAGAGTTTGTAACCCGCAATATTTTATTTTAATTCAATAAATTATCTTTGTGCAAGTATTTTCTTGTTTGTTAAATTCGCAGATAAGAATTTGTTGCTACACTAACAAAGCAAGTTCGAACACATGTATCTTTAATAAGATGTGAACGCGTCACTCGAATTCGAGCATTACTAGAAAAAATAATTTAACACGTGTAAAAAATTAATAAAAAAAACTATTTTAAATAATTTAATAAAGTGAATAAATCCACATATACAAACCACAAAATTAGTCAAAATTGAGAAGACAAGCACCCAATTAGTGCTTCTTATAAAATAATAAATAAGTACAAAAAAAACAAAATAGAAGTAATAAGAAAGAATAAAAAGTTTTATTCCATAAGATGCCCTCACATTATTGGCGGAATATATACCATAATACCCCCAACTCAAGTCAGTAAATTTCCCCAAATTCTATACCCCTTTTAGTAATTTCATATATAAAAATAAAATAGAATATAAATTAAATATCTTATTTGTCGTCCTCCTTTGCGCCTCTGGTCTGTCTGATCAGAGAAAAATTATCAGATCTGATTTTCATTCATTACCTAGAGAGAGAAAGAAAAAGAAAAAACAGATTATACGGTGTCGTTTTGCACGTGCGCTCCCGAATTCCATAGATTCGCTGATGTAACCCTCGCAATATTGCATTCATTGCCGGTGATTTATTTTTGATTTTTGATTTTTGATTTTTTGATTTTATTTTCCTCTGCCGAGCCAATCAACAGATTGGAAGGAGAGTTTTTTTTTTTTTTTTCCCATGGATTCGGATGAATTTCGGGCTATTTTATCGGGATCGGGGGTTGGAATTTGGGCTGTGATTGACGCGGCGATTAGAGTCGCCGGCTCGGACTACGGCGACGAGTTGCGCCGCCGGAGAGACGGAATCGTCGAGTCTCTATACGCCCCCGCCGAGCAGCTGTGTCACAACTGCGGCGGCGGAATCAACGACGACGGCGGCCAGGACCACCGCCTCTGCAATCGGATTAATAATAATAGTAATATTGTTATTAACAGTAGTGAAGATGTTGACGATAAAGACGACCGCCACGACAGCAATAAGAAAGTCGCCGCCGATGATGGTAAAACCAATCGGAATTTGAATGAGGATTTTAGTAAGAGTCCTCCGTTGACTCCGGAGTCAAACCACCGGACTTTTAGCGACGGAGACGGCGAAGAGGAATTGGATCCGTTCGCCGGCTTGTTTGATGATGAACAGAGCACGATTCTCGGCATCAAAGAGCAGCTTGAAGATCCACACCAGGTTTTCAATTTTTATTTTTATTTTTTGTATTTTAATTTTTGTCATTTAATTTAGTATTTTGTTTTATTATTGAAAATTTTCCCCTGTTGGTTGGTGTTTAGAGTGATGATTCTGTGGTGGAGTTGCTTCAGACTTTGTCAGATATGGATATCACTTTCCAAGCTCTGAAGGTAGTGAACCTTAATTTTATCTGATTGAATAAAAACAGAAAAACCTTTTTAATTCAGAAGTATTTAAATCGATGATTGTATTTTGCAGGAAACCGACATTGGAAGACATGTGAATCGATTAAGGAAGCATCAATCGGGCGAAGTTCGTGGATTGGTTAAGCAGCTCGTCAGGTTTTGCAGCTCAACCCTCAAATGCAGCTCTGTAAATTGTTAAGTGTTTTATGTAAGCATTTCAATTGATTTTGTTTTTGGTATTGAATTCGAATGCAGAAAATGGAAAGAGACGGTGGACGAATGGGTGAAGGTGAACCAACCACAATCGGCTTCGGACCTCATTGGTAATTTTTGTTCGGTGTTCTTAAAGTAGAAAGTTTCCTCTTTGTAGCTAAAAAGTAGTTAGTTTCTTCTTTAAGTGAGAATGAATATAATATGTAAGTTGAAGAAGAGAAGATATTCATGTTTTTAATATTGATGATGGTGATGGTGATGGCAGCTGATGTGGACTCACCTCAGCAGAACATGCACAGAAATCACCAAAATGGCCATCACCAGGTGAATTCATAGCTGTTCCCGTTCGATTAAATTAGTTATTTGGTGAAAAAAAAGGAAACGAAAAGGATGCAGAAAGAATAAGAGAAAATTGGCTTCGAAATACTGTTTTTCTTTTCTTCCTTCTGTAAAGCTTCTGAACCTCTCGTTTATGCAGGTGCCGGATTTTGGATACTCGCCAAATCCACGGAGTGAGTTTTGAATCTTGATTATGAATAACATGTGGTGGCTATTCTGTGGCCATGTTCTTTGTTGGCATTAGATTAATTTTGTCGATATTCTGGTTATCTTTTATTAGATGGGAGTTCTAGTGCAGAAAGGAATTATGCAGAACATGAAACGAAGCCTAAACTACCTCAATCTGCACCTCGAAGAGAAGCTCCTTCGAAACCATTAAAACAACCTCAATCAGCTCCTAAGCCTGTTTCTGCTCCTCCACCTAATGTACGAACTCTTTCAACACGTACACAATGCATACTTCTCTGTGTGGTTTATACTTGTGTAAAACTATTTGGTTGTGTTTGGATTGAAGGATATCTTTAGAGGTAATAAATTTCAAATCCATAACAATACGTTATTGATTTTCTGATAATTTTAAAGCTACGGTAGATTTCAGATCTTTTAACTGAATTTTTCTTCCCTCCCCATACAAATGCATTAGGTTTTGTATATATGTGGATTCATAGCCTTAATCTGTCTACTTTGATGATGTGCTTTACTCATTTATGTAGTCAAAAAAGATTTGTAGTTCAAATGGCATTACAACACACGCGCACACACACACACACGTCACAAGAATAAGATTGGTGCCATTCAGCAGACAAGAATTGTAGTGGATAATTGCCCACCATTTCGAATTTACCCAATTTTTGTGATAAAAATATTTGTTCGTTGAGATTGGGTTTGAAAATGTAGGCGTAATGTGATTGCTTATGTCTTGATAATGAATTCGGATTTTGCAGAGACCAACAAGGGAAACTGTTGTAGACGACGAGAGGCTGAATTCAGCTAGAAAACGGCTTCATGAGAACTACCAAGAAGCTCAGAACGGTATTGCTATTTTTTATTTTTATTATTTAATTTATTTATTACTATCGTTAGTAGCTTCTTTCGTTCGATTGGCTTTTATAATACTGATGGGCTGTTGTTTGTTTACTTTCGTGAAGCCAAAAAGCAAAGGAAAATACAAGTGATGGATATTCATCAGATCCCGAAACCAAAGAATACCTTCTTTGCAAAGAACAAAAGCAACTTTCAAGGGAGACGATGATTCGCCCTCGTTTTTCCTTTTCTTCTTCACATAATTGCATGCAAATGGTTTCTTGTTTAAGGGGCCATTCCTTAAAGCAGTTGGTTTGGCGCTTTGTTACATTATTTTTTTTTTGTTTGTCTTGAGCACAAACTAAGGAAGGAACTAAGTTCCATATTTATGATCTTCGATTACGATACTAACGTTTATTTTAAGATATAAAAATGCCTATACCGTGGTTAATATCTTCGACATATTTTTTTGTCCTTTGCAATTTATTGCTAGAATGTTCGAACTCCATGCAAGAATTTCTGCAACGGTTTTTTTTTAAAACGAAACTTTCCTCTCATATGTGTCTTGCCTAATCCCGACTTCGACCTCGTTTGATAATGTTTGATATGATTTTTAAAATAGATTGGACTCGGAATTAAAATATTTATAAATATTCGTAATAATATGACATCTTATTTTTTAGATTTATTTATAGTTATATATGTAATAGTAATTATCATATTCAATGGTATATAAAAATTTAAAAATGCGAAATATATTGGACCTCGTGCAATAACTTGTAGATGACACGAAATATGTAAATTAATTTACCTTAACATGTGTCAGCTCGACATAGAAAGTATTGGCAATAGTGTTCGAACTTCGATCAGACGACACAACAGTTTTTTGCGCTACAAATTAGGTCATACAATGCGGGACAATATTTAACTAAACTTTTATTAAATTCTTCTAAGGTTAATTATAATTCTAAACAATTGCCTAAATAAATTATTAAGACATGAAAACATGGGACAAACACAAAATACTAGGTGGGCAGGTCAAATCTTTGCAAAGTCAAAAGTCACGGAATCACGGTCCAAGAAAACATCAATAATTTCAATAAAAAATTATGATGTCATTAAAATATTAATTAGGACTATAATCGAGTGATTATTAAACACATATATATGGCTTATATCATAACAGTTCAAATTTCGAAATGTCATCTTATAATTGGGCTCTTTGAATTTGGACTTTTGTTAAATATATAATAATGTATTTAATTTAAATTATATTAAACTTAAAAAAGAGGACCAAAGGAGAACCCTCTGCCGTCCTAGAACTAAAAATCCCAATAAATTAAATGACCTAAATAATTTATCAAAGTAGATATAGTTGCAATACTATATTAATAATTACTGGATAATTTGTAATCTGTATGTATATATAACTCTGATCTGCTACATTTTATTACAAAATCAAAATTACCAAGAACAAAATTAAATGGCTTCAAATATTTCTCTACACTCTATTTTACTTGTGCTAATTATTATAACGTTGTACTACAAAGTTGTTGTGGGGTGGGTACCTGTAATAACCGATCCCACAAAAGGGTTCGTTTCTCAGCGTTTGAACGAATCGAATCTCGTGATCCAACGGCCGTACGACGTGCCTGAAAACCGACGGTACAGATTCGACAACGGCGTTCACAAACTGTGGGTTTTCAACACCGACAAGCCTCACTCTATCATCAGTAACACCAACCCTCGTACCGAGATTCGAGTAAAGGTACGTAAAGTGTTTTCCTTTTTTCCAGACGAATAGATTTTCTTTACGATAAATTTCAAAATAATTATTAGGGTTTTAATATGAAAGTGAATGGACGTTGTCTTTGGTAGGGATACGACTATTCGTCGGGGGTGTGGCAATTCGAGGCGTACGGGTACGTGCCATGTGGCACTTCCGGAGTGTGCATCATGCAAGTGTTCGGGTCGGCCCCACCTTACGCGACAACACTAATGCTCCGAGTGTACAACGGTACGCTCGCGTACTATCGAGCGCCTGTCGTTGCGCCAAATATATACGATCGATGGTTCAGATTGAACGTGATTCACGACGTAGAAGCGAGTAGAGTAGAGGTATACATCAATGGAGTTTTGAAGTATGAAGGGAGTGGAAGAGGGGGAGCCTCTCATTACTTCAAGTGTGGAGTCTATGCACAAAATGATGATTCTTATTACATGGAATCACGTTGGAAGAAAATTAGAATCCTTAAAAAATGTGACTAATTAATTAGATATTATATATGTGGTACTTTTAAATTAGTGTGTGTTTGTAATAAAATAATAAATCCATGTTTTAGTAATTATATGTATTAATGTTTGGTAGATTTTAATAAATACATTTTGGTCCCTTATGTTTCAAAAATTCGCAAATTTCAATCATTTTCGTCAATTTTCTGTTAGTAATAACAGAATCAAGCGTAAGTCAATCACTGTCTTAACTGAAAGACTAACGGTAAATTGATATAAGGACCAAAACTTAAATTATTGAAACATGGATATTAAATGTGTTTTCTGTGAACATAAAGACCAAATTCAAAATTGGTGTAATTTTCCCTAAAAGAAAAGTGTAATTTTCCCTAAAAGAAATTAGATATCTTTATAGTTTATTATCCTATAACAAAAACGTACTTTCTTGTACAAATATTGTAAATAGGAAGAAAACCTTTTAAGTTCCTTGGTGTAATTAACATGCAGTAAATAATTAATTAATGAATTCTTTTACTCCATCCTTCCCTTAATATTTGTCACTTTTGCCATTTTTTCATATTTCAAATTATTTGTCATTTTACTATTCCAATGAATAATTAATTGCAATCTTTCAATTTTGTCATTCCTCACTCATTATTAATTGAAATATAATTATTTAAAAATCAATTAATGACATGGGCATTTTAGTGATTTACTATAATTTTTGCTACTATCTATGCATATTTAATGAGTTTCTTAATATGTGTGCAACTAACAAAAGTGACAATTATGCATATTTAATGAGTTTCTTAATATGTGTGCAACTAACAAAAGTGACAATTATTGAGGGAAGAATGGAGTAATTAGTTAGAGCCAATTAAAACGCTTCAAAGACATCTATCTCATCAAAGATTCTAAATTAAGATGATGTTATTGCAAATACCACCCATGTGAAATCGTGAATTGACAAATAACCCCCCTGTAAGAAAAAATCATCCATACCTTCATGTGTAACCTATTTTGAAGCACACTGCACCTATGGGAATTTTGTTTGTTGACCAAATGTAAAAAGACAAAAAAACCCATGGGTTTTTTTTCAATTAAAAAAACATAGTATTTTAACAAATAAAATAGAAAATAAAATAAATGTTAATATAATAATAATTTAAAAAAAAAAGAGAGAAAAAAGAAAATAAAAAAAGAGAGAGAAAAAATTTAAATAAAATATATTTATTAAATACAATAAAAATACATGTTAATAATTAAAAAAATATACAAAATAAAACATATATTAAATATAATAATAATTATAAAAGAATAAAAAAAAGTCTTCATCTTCTTCTTCCATATCCAACCACCGCCGCTCCCCCCCAACTCATAACTTAATTCATCCACTGTTCAGCCCAAGTCGGAGCCATCCGCCACTGCTTGATAAGTGTTCGTTTGGCACAATTTTTACTTATCGAATCTTCGAGTTTTGGTCTTCGTTCGTTCGAGTTTTCGGCTTTATTTGTATATATTATGCGTTTCTTGTTTTATTTCTATTTTAGGTAAAGAGAAGCTATTTTTGCCGATTCGAAACGATTATGGAAGCGAAGCCGAGAACCAAACCAAACACGTGCAAAAGTGCATTCTCGCGGATTGTGGCAGTGTTTGGTATTTCAAGCATAACTTTCTTATGCGACCTCCGATTGGGCTGATTCAAGTGGATTTAGAAATCTAACTTCAAGGGCTACAACTTTTGTGAAATAAACAATTGTCGAATTTGGGCTGAAAAAGGGTGAAAAAAGTGTTTGAAGTTGATGCAGAGGCCAGATCGCGATCCAGAATCACCGGATCGCAGTCTGGAATCACCGGATCGCAATCTGGTGGCAAATTCCAGTAGCAGCGAAAAGTTGGACAGATAGCGATCCGCACCTCCTGGATCGCGATCTGGGAAGGCGGTGCGCAGTTTTCGAGGTTTCCAGATCGCGATCCAAGAAGCCCAGATAGCGATCTGGGCACAGAAATCGAGACTAGATATTTTTCTTTGATTTCTCACTATAAATAGAAGGTCTCTTTTTCATTTTTCAACCTCTCGATTATCTCTCGACTTGTTCTTCGGTTTTCTCTTCGGTTTTCGCCAGTTCTTCGCGGGAAGTTTCGACGAGGGTTTCGACTCGGGTTTTTCATAAGCTTTTCTTTACGTTTAGTTTATAATTTCTCGTGTTCTTCATTTTGATGCTATGTTTGTAATGAACTAAGCATTTTCTTTTAGGGAAATGAAACCTTGTATATATTGATTTCGATTTCCAGATCTGTGATCTATTTGTCGTTCTTTGATTCTGTTTATGTTTTCCTGTATTAAATGCTTTTGATTGTTTGGCCAACAGTTGAATTGATTCTAAATGGGAATGAACTCGAGAGAGGATTTCTCGTTTGATTTTAGGAAATCATAGCTCGGGTTATGGAAACGGAGACGTGATGCACCTCGGGTAGCCCTTAAGGACTTGACCTAAATGCTCTCTTAATATCAGGTTTTGAACGGAGACGTCGGACCTGTGGGTAGACTCTAACTACACTGGAGACGGGGGTTAGGGTATTTTAGTGTCTGGGTTAGCGAACATAGAATTGACAATTGATTCGGATCTGTAGATCTTTATCGATAGTACACTGGTGGATTTTACCCTAGAAGCCATCACATGTCGGAATTCCTCGCTTTTACTGGCGGACCGTTGTTTTTATTTATTGTTTCCTTGTAGTTTTATTTCTTCTATCCATTCTTGATCGTCTAAATAAAGTTTAGGATAGTATAATTACGGTACTTGGTAAATTTAGGAACTTAATTCCCTGTGGATTGATATCTGGAATTCACTATTCTACAAAACGCGATACTGTACACTTGCGGTTATTCATACGTAGGTTTTACGCGTATCACTGCTCACCACCACATTTTCATATTTCCTTCCAATTGAGGCACGTTGCGGCCGAGGTGTGCGGTGAGATCGAACGGAGAAAATGGAGGCTCAGAAATGAGTTTTCTTTATCTTCGTGCGGCGGTAGCAGCGGTCATCCTTGGAAGCAGACGTTTCTTCGAAGTTTTCGGGCCATTATTGATCAAAATCCTCAGAAATTGAAGATGGCCATGTCTGACAAGGGTGACTTCTTGAGGAAGATGAAGACGGATGAAGAAGAGAGAGAGAGAGAGAGAGAGAGAGAGAGAGAGAGAGAGAGAGAGAGAGAGAGAGAGAGAGAGAGAGAGAGAGAGAGAGAGAGAGAGAGAGAGAGAGAGCTTGGGGGCATTTCTGAAAATTCACATGTGAAAATGGAGTAAAAATCGCACAAACAACACGTGAGAGATACAATTTGTTTAAAGGGGGCTGGATGCTTTGACTTTGTTTACACAGGGAAGCATGAGTGGGTTTTTTTTTTTTCATCAGGAAGTATTTGCCAATTCGCAATTTCACAGGGGTGATATTCAATTAACTCAAATTTAAATTGTAACTCGGTACGATTAAATTCACACTTAGTAAGACTAGGCTTACTAGATAATTGTTCATTAGAGTTTGATTAACGATTATATATTTATACAACATTCTTTTTGTTTATTCAGTTAATATGAAACACAATTTGCAACTATTGGACTTTATTAGATGTTTGGTAACTCCAATAATTTCCATAGTCGCCAAAAAATATAATGTTATCATGTCTCATAATCTGCTGAGAATTTTTGTGTTAGATGTCCGATAAAATAATTTAATTTTGATTAAACTATTTAATCTTATCTTAGTAGAAAAAAACGAGATCCAATAGCAATCTCTCATAAAATTTGTTTATAAAATAGATATAGATAATTCAAGAACAAGTACCTAATTAATTAACTGATCAAAAGGACAAACCTTACATGCATGCATGCATGCACGTACGCAAGACAATTATAACCATGCAAATTACGAAACTGATACAACGTGGGACCCACATCGGACTCAAAACGGCCTAGTTCGCCGGCGACGAAGCTGGCTGCCCTAACGGGCTCTGAATCGGCCCGTTCGGGCTCGAAACGGGCCCATTACTGGGACCCACCACCGGGATCGGAACCGAGCCGGACCTGGTGGTGGTGTAGGCGGCGGCGGCAACAGCATCGCAGTAACCCCTGAGAATGTAGGTCTGGTCCTGGCTGAACCCTAGTGTTCCCAGGAAAGACGGCCAGCACTTGTGGGTGATGACGGAGATGGCTTCACAGCACGGCGGCGATATGTCAATGGCGCCGGTGGCGAAATATTCGAGTATCTCTTTTGTGCACGACTTGATTTTGTAGAGTGCTGTTAGGCAGTCGAGTGGCCCACTGCCGTTGATTCCGAGTGGGCCCCACCCTGGTTCGTCGGAGTTGGTCGGTGGTTGGATTGGGGTTTCCCGCCCGGCGGAATAACTGGACAATATGAGAGAGGTGAGTGTCAGAAAGAAAACGACACCGTTTGCAGCTGACGCCATTTTCTGTTGGATTGATTAAATTATCTGATGCTGTGGGATTGATTGATTAAATGTGAGGGATAAGCGGCCTTTATTTATAGTATCAATGTTATTATGTATTAATTAATTAATTAATTAATTGTTAATTAATTAATTAATTAATGCAAGAAATGAAAAGTTTGTGGTAAAACTGTTACGTTACGAGGTAATTAAAAAGGCATAACACCCCATTGTTGTAGTAATGGTTTTAATGGCAATTAATTAATTAGGGTTTCGTCCCTCAATATTCTGCACTAGTAGGGGTCAAAATTGGAATGTAATTTACAATCTCTACCGATTTCGACCAGAAAAATATATATTCGATTTTTGGAACTATATAGTATTTTTATTCCGACTTCCGAAAATTCATGTTTCCAATTGTTTTCACTTATATATACACGTGCGATTCCGATTGTTTGTCCGATTTTAATTTTCAAATATTCTTAATTTTTTTCTTCTGAATATTACATTTATATTGCAAGTTGGTAAATACGGGACGCCTTCTAATAAATATAATTATTTAATAAATTAAAATCTAGAACTATATATATATATATCCACATCTTTTTATTTTGTCAAAATATGCATTATTTAGCATAACTTAGACCAGTGTCTGCAGCATATGCTCGTTTTTATGGACCGATAAAGCGTCCCTAGCTAGGTCAATTGTTTCCACCATTTTTTGTGTTTTTTATCCACAAAAACCACCCAAAAAGAACTCTTCAGTCGAAGTAAAAACTTCTATTATTTCAATTTCAAGACAAATTATCGGCTAAATTAATACTCGTGTGTATCCATCCAATTATACGTTTAAAACCATGCTACAAACACTATTATGGGTTAAAATAAATACTATCGATCATTATTTCAAAAAACAAATTAAGCGAGCAACCTCCATTAAGAGAGTTGGTACATAATATGTACCATTAGGTAGAGTTATATTTGTGTTCCGAAAAAACATTATATCGGAACACAAAGGTGTTGAGAAACTGTAAAATATCGAACTTTCCGGGGAGATGAGTATGGCAACGTAACTTAAAAAGGGTTCTTTTCGAGTTTTATTCTGTATGAATTCTTTTGCATATTGTGGATTAGAGTCTAATTTAGTAATTCAAAAATCCCGAATTTCTTGTAATTTTTACAGATTAAATTGTTCGAGAACTAAGTGGGCAAACATGCAAAATTTGTGGCGATGATTAATTAATTGTAGGATGCTGAGATTGGGTATAACGAGAATGCGATAATAGTTGAATTTGGTAGCTTATTTAACGAAAAAACATGAGTTCAAGCTTCTTCTATTTTATTAACAAATTGAACTCACACGGGCTAACGGGTAGTAAGATCAATTTAATTTTTGCCTTAACCCGATTAGGTCGGTCCCTCAAACATAACAAATATAACATAACAAATATAACGAGTATTTAAGACAGTTATGTAATAGTAATATATTTTATTATACGAGAATTAAAATAATAATATTGATTGAGACATTGTACATAGTTGAAAAAATATTGTACATAATTCAATATTTGAATTATGTAATTGTGGTTTATGAATCCCAATAAACCTGGGATAACATGAATATTATTAATGATTTATTAGAGTTAAACTGAAGCAAATAGCATGTGAGGAGTAGTGCTTGGAAATTCCAAATTATTTATTGGCGCTTTATTCAAATTAAACGCGGGAAATTCAAAATTATGCATGGACTCTTAATTGTCTTGTTTCCCAATTACAGGCTATCATAAGGTCCATCTCTAGTTGAAAGGGCTCTTTTAATTTTTTTTTTATTTTTAATTTTTTTTTAATATGAATATTTAAATTAAAATCCTGTTACAATTGGAGAAATATGGACATATATAACTCTACCTAATGGTACATATTATGTACAACTCTCTTAATGGAGGTTGCTCGCTTAATTTGTTTTTTGAAATAATGATCGATAGTATTTATTTGGAGTCTCAAGCAACTACGATATCAGACTTCAATTTTGGCACCATAGTTTGCTAGAAAACTCGTTCCTTCATCAACCAAACACAATGTACGGTCTCAAATTCGGAACGCCGGAACCATGTTTCGTCGTATTGAAATAGCAATTAAACTTTGTGTGCCCATAAAATTCACTCGGAAATGGCAAGTGAAGTTGGTGCAGTAAGATTTAATGTACATGATTTTCCGAGATCATCAAGAAATTATTGTTAGATTACTACGGATTCTTCCAATCTTGGCACCACAGTTATCCATAATCTGTGTTGAGGCATGGCCCATTTGCCTTTAGTCACATTTCGTGGTGTGGAAAAAGTTGAGATTGAAATGCCAAAAGTGAAATTCGTGAAGTAAGAGAGCACGTGATTTCCAAGTTCGTCTTCGGTGGAATAACAATTGAAAAAATCGCAATTGAAAAATCCATTCCGATTTCGGAATGACTTGGAATCGGCAGAATTTTGAAAATTTTGGAAATTGCATTAATTAATAACTTTTGTTCCAAAATCGAATATAATGAGAATTTTAAGATTTTTTTTCGTAATTTTGTTGGAGTTTTTGGTAAAATGCAAAATATCTGAAACAAAGTTCAACAAAATACATATATAAACACTTGTAAGAACAACATAAGCACTTCAACAAAGCCAACATGGTTCTTGGTTTCTTGCAAAACATGCATAAAAGAATTCGACATAGTTAAAGAATATTTTCGGAACGGAATCGGTGGAATTCGAAAATTCAGTTCCGAGTTCCACCCCTACTTCCCACTATAATCACTTCCTTTCCACTCTCATTCCCATTCCCGCTCACGGTCCTTTCTTCTTTTATTTCCTTTTTTTTTTTGTAATTTTTATATACTTTTTAAAATTTCATTTATTTATTTATCTATTTTTTTCAACTTTTTTTCAAAAATATTACCCATCAAATGTGTTTCCGTTTTTATTTTCCTTTTGTTTTCGTTTATCTTTTTTTTTCATTATTTAAATACGTTTTTTATATTTTAGGTTTTTCTTCGATTTTCTTTTCCGCTTCTTTTTCTTTTTATTCTCTTTTTCCTTTTTTTCAATTTTAATTTATTTCAGTTTTCATTTTTATGTTTGTTTTTTTATGTCATTTTTTATTCAATTAATTTTTTCATTTTTTTAATATTCTTTCATATTCTTTTTTTTTTCAATTTTCGTTAACAGATTTAATCGACTACTAAAATCCTACTATAGTCGATTACTTTAATAGACTATAGTCGATTACATTAATAGACTATATATACATTAATAGACTATAGCCGACTATATTATTAGACTATATGTACATTAATAGACTATATTTGGTTATATCAATACACACATTTTACAGGTAAATGTTTTTGAAAAAAACTAATGTTTTGAAAAAAGATATAAAAACACATATGACGGGAAATGTTTTTGAAAAAATTGAAAAAAAAAATTAAATAAAAAATGATAATTTAAAAAGTATATAAAAATTACAAAAATGGTTAATGCTTGTGTTGTGTACTCTTTTCAATAGGTTTGTTTATCAGTGTATTTTGTTTTTCTTCTTTCTTCGAAACTTATTTGTACCCCAAAAATGACGACCATATCGAATTTGGGACTAATTGTGTAGTTAGGACCAAAAATTGACATAAAAAATGAAAGCTTGCCTTGCATAGAATTTGCAACGTAGAAATTATTATGTATACTTATTTATTAATCAATAAAAACGTAAATAATGGTAATTATGTTTATTTATGCCATTTATCATAAAAGTCAACAATCGGACCACTACACCTATATTAATGCTATTTTAGATTTTTATTTTTGTTTACATTTAATTAATACGAAATATTAGTTCTAGAAATATATTAAATAAAGCCATTTGTGGGGGCAAAAAACAAACCAAGAAAGATATTATATTTCAGCCATTTGGAACTATTTTTTTTTTTTTATTATATTATAACTTCCAGTAGATGTAATGTGATCAAAAATAATTTCAAATATTGTTCTTGAAATTGACCGTATAATATAATTCTATTACCACCCATACCTTTTTTTAATTCCTTGAATAAAAAGCAAAAGCCACAATAATATATATGACAAGGGGAATATGCCAAACACCCTCCATTGGATTTTTTATTCTTGATAAATCCTTAATTAATTAATGGTATTTGAGATAAATCCATTGGACTTGAAAATCCATATATGCCCCTACTTATTAGTATAATTATTAAATTAAATATTACTGTAAATTAATACCAAATCCCTCCCAAAAATAAATCAATTTCAAATCAATCCCAATTCACATTACCATATAATTCGCCTCTCTTCCCCCAAATCACGGTAGAAAACATAACCGTATAATATGCAGTCTTTTAGTATAATTATTTAATTTAAAATAAATTATACCCATAATCTACACCCAAATCTTTTCCAAAAATTATTCCCCTCATCACGCCAATTCAGTTTTTTATCCTTTCTTTTTTATTTTGTTTAATAGTTTTCTTTATTTCGTAATTAAAAGGAAATTTTGTAGTTATTTTTTTTTTCGGTTTCTTATTTTAAATTATTTATTTTCTTATTTATATTTTCATGTGGTTTTTCTTATTTCTTAATTTCGAATTTTTTTGAAAATGGCTTTTTTTTTTTTTTTTTTAATAAAAACCACTATATATAAACATAAAAACCACTCTGTATAAACACCTTTATAAACATGAAAACCAATATATATAACAATTATATAACATGAAAACCACTCTGTATAACAATTATGTAAACTTGAAAACCACTCTATATAACAACTATGTCAACATAAATATTACAAACCACTCTGTATATAAAGTTATATAAAATCTGTACAAAAATTATAGTGGTTTCTATAAATTTTTGTACAGATTTTTATAGTGGTTTATGTACAAATATTGAAAACCGCTATAAAAATTTGTATATAATTATTGAAAACCACTATAAAAAAAAGGAAGATTCAAGTCGAGAGAATTGAAAAATGGCCGAGAGAATCAACATCTGATGCAGCTCTTTAAATGTGAAGTTTTGGAGATTCGCGAGCCTCATGAGGTCGAGGTCCTCTTTTCGAAAATCTGTAACATAATTCGAGGTCCTCACTCCAAGTGCAATTGCTAGTTTCTTGGAGTTTGTTCTGTTGCCTGATAAATGCATAATAGGGAAACTAATGAATAATTAAGAAACTTGCTACAATTATGTGTGAGAGAGATATAACCAAACAAATAAAGACAAACACAGATCCACATTTTCTTTAATTACTCGACCTATTGAGACTCTTGATGCATAACAAATTAATTTATAGTCTAACAAATTATTTATGAGCAATAAATAAATTAGTAATTACCTCGAATTGGCCGGGAGTGTTGACAGGCTGTAGAAGCTTGGCAAGGACTAATTTCTGGTTAGAGTCCCTTTTGATTCTGAATATGTCACCTTGTTTTATATTGAAGCTCTCCCTCCTTTCTTATCTCATTAAGCTCGCTGTTCCCCTTCCTGCACCACATGATCCAAATACATATAATTATATTATCAATATAATTAGTTTAATTAAATTGAGTAATTAATAATTATATAATTACCGTTAGCAACAAAGATTACGGTGTCGGCATCCCAATGATTAGGCACGATGAAATTCGCCGCGGATGTGGCGGCCGGCAGCAGCGGGGAGGAGGAGCGGCGGACGCAGATGTTGAGGCAGAGCGGCTGCGGAGATATTTCCGATGCGATGAGGATTTCTTGACGACTGATTGCAGGGGAGAAGCCGTGCGTTGTTCCTAATTAATTGCGATATAATAGGAAAAGATATTATAAATCTTTTTTAATTTGTTTTTTTATTTCCAATCATAAAATATACGTTATCTTTAGGTTAGGGGTAAAATAGTGATAATTTATTATTTTTTATTATTTAATGATGAAATGGATTTATCTCAAAAAGTTCTAAAAAAATTGGATCTATTCTAATTAGCCTTGTGTAATGGAGGGCTTTTGACAAATAATCCCTATAAACTAATTAGAAAATCAATCAAATCACAATTTTGTTGCATAATTAGGGGTAGAAACGGTTGAGTCTTAAACCATATCTTTCCAATTATAGGAAAAAAGGAGAGAATTGATTTTAAAAACTCTTTAATCATTAGTGACTTTCCAATCTAAACATAAGAATCTTCAATTACATGCCCATTGTTGTTTTTGAACTTATTTTTAATTTTGAAATTTAATATTAGAATTTCAATAATTATTGCTTAAGGATTTTAGAAATGAGTTTTACTTATTTTATTGCTTAATTAATAAACAAAGAGTAAAAGGAGTGAAACATATGCTACTAAAAGGTAGACAACGGGGAGAAAATTTTCTTTGCATAAAATAAATTGTTTCAAAATCACCAAAGCGCGAAGATGAGCAAAGCCAAATAAACCAATATGTTTATGTGTTTACTGTTTAATTAATAATACATTAAATTATCCTAAACCTCGATCGAGAACGAGACGGAAATTTAGTATAAAAAGACTTTCCAAGTTATTATGTAATTAATAAGGAAAAGTCGAATTATGTTCAACTGTGTGACTGTGCATAGTAGGGGACGCACGTACGACATATAAAATCATGATATTGTAAGTGAGATTTTCGATAAAATCACAATTTTCGAAAATATCTTCGAAAATTAATATAGATTGCAAATGAAAATGTAACACGTATTCATTTTTGTTTCAGAAGAAAAAAAATGATATATCAAAACTTTTGAAATCCATAGGAAACTGGAAATACAAAATTCTAATGAAATATGAAATCACTCCACATAGGTAATCTTCAAGTTGGTCGTCTGTCCAAAACCTTCAGCGCATCCTCTAGTTAAGGGCGCTGATGCATAAATCTTCCCTTTGTATCCATGATTCTTCACCAGATCTTCGATGAAAAATAGCTCCTTCAGTGATGTGGCCATGAGAGAAGAGGATCCAGCTAAAAACTTCTTACGCATTTTCAGCGTGGACTTCCTATACTCGATGAATTCTTTCTGCCGTCTCAACATCTCCACCCATATTGCAGCAATTTCCAAATCATGTTCAATCATTTTTCACCTGATATGAAAATATATAACGTCAAAAGAAGAACTTTTTGTTATCACAGCAGAGAAAAGAGATGGTTCTGTTATTTGAGACGACAATGTTGCGCTAAACCAAATCTTAAACCCCTCTTTTCCCCTTTTCTCAATGTCATCTAGCATATACAGCTCCTAATTGTCCAGAAACTGCTTTACTATTATGTGTAGTTTTACAGGTTCTAAAAGAAATAAAAATACCAAGTACAAAAACAGAATGATAGATCACCAAAACGATCATCTCAAGTGTTTTCATAATAGATGTACGAATTCTTCAAAATATAAAAAATAACAATTTCAAACATATGTATTTTTCTCTTATTTTAATATAATCTATTTACTACATAGCAAGTCATGCAAAATGTATATTTCCAGAATTTTGCACTTGCATACATTCGATACCGTACCCTAAAACTGTAACATCATTCATGAAATTGATTTTAGCAGATGTCATTGTAAAACTTATGATAATAGATGCATAATGATCAAACTAGTCAAGTTAAAAACTCAAAAGAAATATGAAGTTCAATACTAATCTCCTTCCTTATCACAGCAGAGAGATGGTTCTGTTATTGGCAGCAATCCTACTTCAATTCTTCATACAAGAAAAATGCAATAAAAAGCCCATGTTATATACAAGATTGTTAGAAAAATTATGTAATTACACTAAAGTTGAACACAAGATAAATGATGAAAGGATATCTTGTTCGCAAAACAAAGGAAAATCCTTACAACAAAAGGTATTTCGCTAATAGAGGATTGTGCATGTGCTACACTATTGTTAGACTTGATGAAAGAAGGAAGCACATCGTTTTTTAATGATTACAGTGTTTCACCAATCATTAGACCGATTCTTTTGTGGGGCAGCGACTCCGATAGCCATGGTCGGAAATGATATCAGGGGAGTTTCGATAACGAAAGCAGCGAAAACTGATGAGAACTAAGTCTTACGCCAAGATTTAGTTTGTGGAGGAGATGTGGGCGTTTTAAGTTTAGGCTAAGGTTGATCAGAAAGAAAGATTAGACTGATGATTAGGGGTAGAATATTTTTTTGATATTTTCTTTTATAACAACCATTTACATCAGAAACAGAGGAAACCCAACAAATATGTCAAGTTGGCTTTGATCTCTGCTCCTAATGAACTTGAAAAACTGGTGTTGCACAAATGGACCCCATAAGTACACCTGTTGAGGTGTCGGATCTTTGCCTCGACCCATTTTGCAGTGTCCGGGTCGTTCGGTCGGACGAAAAAATGGTGGATTCGGTTAACAACTAACTAGCATATCACAATGACAAAGTTAGCTCACAATTTCTCCAACTTGTGTTCCTTCGCGGCCATATTTTAGTGGATTTAAAGAAGAAACGTATCGATTAAGCATCACACCACATGTTTGACAAAATGTCAATTCCAAAAATTGAGTGTAAAATCTACTCATACACACACTGGCACACATAAACATGAAAAACAGACACACAAGTGGAATATCGTACTGATTTCGTCAATTACGTACAATTAATTATCGGCTCAAGTGTGATCAAAAAACTATTAACTAACCAAAATCAAGTTTCACTGTTTCACAATTCATCATATAGTTGAGCATGATTTCAGCTCTTAATACAGTTCTTTTTCAGCATAACTAGTCTTGTCTTATTTACTTGTACGCTAATCTACTTTGGTGAATCACCAAGAACGATTTAGTTATGGTCTCACTACTTCACCAGTCCTGCCTATACATAAGACTTTTATTATCGTTCGTCTAACAGAAACACATAAACCGTGAGTACGCCTATTTCACATCTTAATAACCTGAATATTGTTACAAGGCACAAGCACTAAAGGACCATATAAAATCTGATTTGTATCCAGAAAATCCATTAAAAACATTAAGATCTAATTTCAATTAAAATAACTTATATTATTGGAGAATTCCAATAATAGTGCTGGAAAATAAAATTCATCACAATTCCAATTTATCAAATACAGAATTATCCAAGATATGCATATACACATACCTTAAATTCTCGAACTTGCTTTTGTTGCTCAGTTTGCAGTCTACCAATGGTGCTCAGAAGTTCACCCACCGACAATTCTGTACGCTCGTTAAGTGCTTATGCAACAACCTTCCCTAGTTAAAATTCTCTTAGTTCTCGCCTAAAATTGTTATGCTCTTATTCTCACCTGCAAATTTATTTGGAAAATATTTATGAAACTAAGTACCATAAGTGAAAAATAAATACACACACAAGCATAGTCCCTTCTTTATCTAGAAAAAAAAAATTAATGAACAAGATTTGCACATTATTCTATATCTCAAGAAGCATAATCACCCAACAAACACATAACAATGTTGATCCATTTAAATTTCCAAGACTATTACGTTGGAATTCAAGTTTAATATTATATCATTTTTGAGTCCTTTCAAAGACGAAAACAATGAAAAGAGTTGTAAAATTCCAAGTTACTGACCTCTTGTTATTTTTCAGTGATGATGACCCTACTTAGTCATTGTCCTCCCGCCCGAAGTTGTATATAATCTCAATCTGCAGTAACCACATAATTAGTGTTACAAGTTGTGCAATGGCAGAGAAATGCTTAAAGGCTAATCATACCTAATAAATAAAAAACGCCGCCAAGATTGACGAACTATTTAAATGCTCTGTCACAAGGAAGATAGATTCTCTAATACCGACAACCGAAAACAGATTCTTCTTCTTATTGTCACAACACACACACACATACATACGACAGCCAATATCATATTTAAAAAGTTCCATCAACGAAAATCGACACGTGTCTAGATAGTTGACTACTTAACTACTTTTAGCAAACGCAAGATAGATCCTCGACAGCAAAAAAACAGATTCATAATGGTCAAATGCAAATGCACACGCTAAAACGACAACCAACGCCGCCCAAGACAAGTACTAACAAACTAACTTAACGAACATAACGAACGCACGAGCCAATCAAAATGCCGATAGGAAAAAACAAACACGAGAATAATTTTCGCAATCCCATAAAATCCTTTAACAATAAATCCTTCAACAATAAATCCCGAATTTGAAGATCTCTATGAATGCACATATATACATATTATTAAACCATAAAATAAACCTAACCTGGAAACAGAAATTTTAGATGTTTGAGGTCCAATTGTCGTGTATGCTGACTGATTTCCACTGAATTGTGACCGCCGAGCAATTAATCAAACAACGAGAACTTCAGAAATTTTAAAATAATTGAAAAGAGGCGGAGAAATCAAACAACGCGCCGATTGGAATTATACCTCGAGCAAACCAGTTCTAATCTGGTAATGGAGCGAATCGAAGGCGATTTTGAGCTGTTCGCGGCCGGAGACAATTCGCCGGAGCTTGGTTTGAACAGAATCAAAACCTAACTGAGACGATTCGCCAGAGCTTGGTTTGAACAGAATCGAAACCTAATTGCAAAAATTACAGAGACGGGGAATCAAATAATCGACAGAGAAACGAAAAAAATCAATGGCCTAGGAGCAATTTTTGGCTGGGTTTGGGTTTTCATCCCCTTGCAGATGTTCAATGCGTTATTTCAATTTAGATGAAAAATATTAAATCTCTATATTAAATTTAATTATAAAATACATGATCTTTGCTCATATTAATGCAGTTGCAACTTTAGTTGGAAAACAAAGTGCAACTTTTATTTTTCAACTGAAGTGCGATTTTGCATATATCCCTTTCTTTTTTTCCAAATAAAATCATATTTATAATTGGCAAAATATATTGTGTATACATTATTTTTTTAGGTTCAGTCTAATGAGATTTTAGGTAATCAATAGAAACTTAATAACATCTTAATCATTAACTAGTATCTCACCCGTGCGATGCACGGGAGTTAAATTCAAAATTTAAATTTGATTCAACTAAACACGATAAATAAATAAAATATAATATAAACTTAGTATAATTTAAAATATTAAAACAAATAACATCGGACCAACTTTGCCTTAGCAATCGCCAAAATAAATATTTAAATAGGAAATGTTTAGATGATTGTGCAAATATATGTATATGTGGTAATGTTTAGATGATTGTGCAAATATTAAATAGGAAATAACTTAAACACATACCAAAAATATAAAGCCAACTCACCAATTGAAGAATCCACCTCATCAATTGAACTCCAACTAAGCAATTTTGATAAATGACATCAATATTTGCCACATGTCAATCATTGAGGGCATAGATCCTCTTTTTATATTATATATAGATAATTTAATATTAAGAATAACTTAATAACAGTTTCATCATTAATAATTTAATGTTAAGAATACATGCCTTCTCTCTTATTATTATTATTATTATTATTATTATTATTATTATTATTATTATTATTATTATTATTGAGCAATTCTCTATCTTATTATCGTTTCTAGTATATTTTGAAAAGAAATTTCAACCGCCCTTTTTTTTGGAAAATAATAACAATTCAACTTATATTTTCTCATAAAGAAGTATCATCAACGACAATTTATATGTTATCAATAAAAAGAAGGTGTTATTGGTGACAACAAATAAGTTGTCACAAAAGAAAAGTTGTTATTGGTGACAAGTTCAATTTTATCACTAAAGAAAATGTGCCATTAATGACAACTTGAATATTGTCACTAAAAAAAATTACCATTAGTGATAAGAAACATGTTATCACTAAAGAGAAATTATCATTAGTGATAAAATAAATATTATGTCACTTAATATAGTTGTTCAGTGATGAAATACACATTGTCACATATTTTATTGTCACTAATTAATATTTTTCTTGTAGTGAATGGACAATTAACTGGTCGATAATTTTAATTGATTCATGTATAAATGAGTTGGTTGGTAGTTTTTAGTTTGCTCCAGAGTTTGTTGATTGGTAATACCGGCCTATCGACTTTTTGAATAATATAAAAATTAAATATAGTTAGTTCATAATGATATATATTATTATTTTCTTGATATAAAAAACACGCAAAGTTATTAAAATATAAAACAAATAAATAATCAAAATAAAAAGCTTATAGTGCACAATTAATTGTTGCATTGCCATTACACGGTCAAACATTAAGTATATACTTTATATAATAACAAATGAAAGAAATCATTTTCAAAGTTTGAATGCATATGCATCACAAGGATACTTTAGACTTAGCAATTTTTTTAGTCTGACTTAGTAATTAGTAGAAGCATTTGATAGTTTGGAGTCATATAGATTACGTTTATAACGTCCTGGGTGGGGAACAACTTTTTATCCCCTATTGTGTGCGCGTGTAACTACTAATTTTAATCAAACATCTTATGGATGTGAAAGTGTTTGTGTTTTTTTCAATAATACGATGACCGATAATATCGGTCGATCGACCATTGTTAGACTAAGTAAGTCGGTTGCCAACCATTGTTCGACTAACATGTGTCGGATTGATAACAGTTTTAATATTGATCAACAAAGTCGGTTAATCACGGTGGGTCGAGAATAGGTCGGTAATTATTCGACCAACATAACTGAACGGGTACGTGGCAGTTAGGTATTAAAGCGGTGCGAGAATTACCCGTTCCATAGCCATCCCTAATGTAGTGTATATTTTCAGCCACACTTACAACATCATGTGCATTGATTACAAAAAAAAACACAAAGTAGAAAGATTCACTAGACCATTTAGGGTGTGTGGTACCATTTAGAAATTGGAATTTCAATTTTTTTTTTTTTTTTTATTTTGTAAACAACGTTGGATCGCCAGAAATCATAATGGAGGCATGTGATGGTTGATTATCTTAAAATTATTCAAAAAAATCTTAAAATTACTATCGAACAATGATCAAATCATGTACATGAATATAAATATAATTTTATTATTTCACAATCAAAATCAATTATTATGTTAAAATCAATTATTATGTTATTATTGAAGTGAGATTTTAGTGAGTTACATGAATATAAATATTATAATTCTTTTGCTTGGTCTAAGTTTTTTATCTAGGTATAAAACAAAGATTTTATGGTAAAATTGTTTGATAGGTTCTGAGGTTTATTTTCCTCCCTTATTCAATACCCAATAATAATCAACCGACCACTATGCATGCAATATATAGTAATTAGTATCCTAATCAAGCTCGTAATTCTACTTAATTAATCGCAGAGTCCCGATTCGATCAAAATTCTGTTTCCTTTCAAATTAAAGTATTCATCATAACGTATATATATATATATATATATATATATATATATATATATATATATATATATATATATATATATATATATATATAAGAAAAAGATTACGCAGGCAGGCTAGGCTGTTCATAGTTGATACATACTTGTTCACATTAATTAATTGTAATAAAAATCGAGCAACAATATAATGAAGAACGTCCTCTCCACTCGGGTGAATCTGCCCTACTTGGAAGAACTAGGATCTACTGATGAAGAATATTTGGAAGATGAGTATATAGAGTTTTTGCAGGAAGAGAAATTTCCCAAGTATGTAAGTTTGGTTAATGATATATTGGATTCGTACGATGATGTGGAGAATCTGAAAGAATTCATTGTCGATGTGCCGTCTTTCGAGGGAGGCAACCCCGAGAGGTGGTTCGAATTTGCATTATCATCAACAAAGATCGAAAGAATCGAAATAAACCTGACTTATTTCTTCAACAGCGACAGTGGATTCTACACTTTTCCGAGGCTAATTGCGAACATGGCCGGTCTACCGGGGCTCAACTCCCTTAAGGAATTGTGTCTAAAATACATTCATATAGATGATATGGATTTCGATTTTTTGGTCACGAAATTGGTTTCTCTTGAGAAACTGTCCATCGAAAACAGCGAGAGGTTGAAGAAGGTGGTGGTTAATGGAGGAGTAGAAAAGTTGGAGGAGTTGGAGATATGTGACTGTTTGTACCTCGAATCTGTTGAGGTTTCCAATGTGATGAACCTTGTTTGTTTAAAGTGTTGGGGATCAATGGAATATAAGTATATTCTAAGGCTCCATAATGTCCCCAAACTTACTCACTTCCAAACTTCGGGCAACCTCACAAACTCAATCGAACAAGTCTTATCTGGAATTTCGGTATCCGTACGCGATCAATTGCTGCGCCTTAAGCTCGCAACCAACCCCTTGTGTATGTCGGTACGTAAATCTCCCTCTCTCTCTCTCTCTCTCTCTCTCTCTCTCTCTCTCTCTCTCTCTCTCTCTCTCTCTCTCTCTCTCTCTCACTCTCTCTCTGTATATCTCTCACTCAAATACAAAAATAAATTTAGATTTTTATCTACAAACGAATGTTGGTTTTTTTTTTTTTTTTAATTTTTCGTTTCTGCGGTTTTTTGTCTCTTACTTCGTTAATATATCATTTTTTTTTTTTTTTTTTTTTTTTTTTTTTTTTTTTTTATTTAATTTTTTTTATATACATATATTTGGTGGTTTATTTATAGTTTATTTTTTTTATTTTTTTATATTATTTTTTCTTTCATTTATTTGAAAACAATGAAAAAAAATTATATATATTTGGCAGTTTTGGGGGTACCGGTGTGATATGGTGAAAGATGGAGAACCTGAAGAGTGGTATAGTCAGCGACATAAGCATCTCAAAACGGTGACGTTTTCGGGATATGTGGGGTGGCCAATTGAACTTGAATTCGCTATATATATATTGAAGAGTGCTGTAAGACTGGAAGAATTTATCGTTGAATCTTGTGATAGATATGATACAGCCAAGAAAGAGGCTGCTGCAGCTCATGCGCGGGAGAAATTTCCACCATTGTTACGTAAATTTAAGCCATTCTTTGTTGTTCAACCGGAATCGCCTAATTTGCATTATGTGGCGAAGAAGAAATTAGCTATTTAGTTTTTTTTTTTTCCAATTTTATTTACTAGGAAATTAAATCTTCCTTGATGGCTTTCTTTATTGATTGTTATTTATTAGGCTTGATAAATTCAGATGCATAAAACTTGGGAAGAAACTTACATAATCATGACTTGATAAACTTTCAAGTAAGTTTTTAATCAGCATATATATCATTTAATTTGCCAAAGAAGATGTATGTTTCCTCGTTGATCATCAATCCATCATTATCCATGTCTTCGAAAATAAAAATATTGACAATAAGAAATCAATGGACAAATAAGTACAGCTAAGTAAAAAAAGTTTATTTTTTAATGTAACATCTAGAGCAGCAGCTGATGAAATAAATATGGTAAAAGCAGGGGACTTTTTTTCCACAATTTTCATTGCTTTTTCAACCTTAATCCCCTGTTACTGTACAAATTGTTGTGTTTGGGGTTTGGATTTGAAGGAAAATATATACCGAATTAAGATTAAACGACTGTACGTAGAGAGGGTCGTGATTTCCTGTGGTGGTGAGAAAGTGACACGACGTTGGTAGTATGGTGGAGGTGGTGCCCTCTCGTTTTTTCAGACCGACGATGGTGATGGTGTAATCGTTCTATAAGAGGTGGATCAACATTTTCGTCTCCCGTTTCAGACCAAAAGAAGTGGAACATGGTAAGAAGTTGTTAACGAGAATTCTTGGAATTTTTTAGAAACCTTGTATTT